AATAACCCCGAGGGCTTTTCTGTCCAGAAGATTCCAATCTTCTTCCTTCATACCCTCCGGCTTCTTCCCCGAGAGAGGTTGATACAGATTTTTCTGATACAGATAATCCTCTATCTGCATTTTCCAGAATCCGAAATCTGTTCCATCAAATTTCTCAAGTCTCATTTTTTCCTCATCTGCGGCCATATCTCCCACTTGAATCTGACTTCCTCTAGATCGTTTCACGCTCAGATACCAGTTTTTGGGAATCTAACGCTGAAACCCCTAATGCAACAGAAACACAGAATAGAAAAAGTACATCAAGTTTTAACGAGGTTCGGCAACTGCCTACGTCCTCGGGAGCCACACAGTAAATTTCTTATTAATCAAACAAGAAATTACAATTTAAGAGCAAATCAAAAATGAGATCTCTCAAATGAACACTGTAGCTACAGTGTTAATAATTAAAGGGTATGAACCCTTTCAATTCTCACTTGAGAATAAATAAGTACCCCACAATATAAAACCCCTTTTAATTCTCTCTCTCTCTCTTCTTAAATCTTTTCTTAATCTCCCCTCAAACAGTTGAGAGCTGGAGATAAAATCGCTGCTGCGATTTCAAAAAGGGGGGGCCGAAAAATTGAAACGCTGCTGCGTTAATGAGCCGCCGCCAGAGAGAGAGATCAGAAAAGAGGGGGGAAGCTTCAGCTGACCCAAACCCTAGGGCCAAAGGGGAGGGGTATATAGGGGAGATCGATGGGCTGGCGACAGCTTGTCGCCAGCGGCCCACTCTAACTCAGAATGTCCCCCGTCATCTCAGGGAATCCCCTAGATTACCGCAATAAAACATTATCAAAATACCGATACATATGTTTGTCGCTGGCTAAGATGAGCTTTGCTTGAATCAGAGTGACATAATCAAAATCGGCAAATTGCTTTTAAGGTTTTTAGTATTTCGATAGGACATGTGGGCTGCCCTGGGGGCACATGAAATTGGCTGACCGAGCACGCGCCTCACATGCTGGTGGGGTTTTCCGACCAGAAAGAAAAGGAGAGGCAAAAAAAAAAACTACATAGTTATCTGCAAGTCAGATGAAATATAACGGTCACTAGAACATGATGATTGATGACCTCTCATTTTCACAGAGAATAATGTAGATTGCAACTATCTCCTTTTTTTTCTTGTATAAAGAAGCAAAAAAGGAACCCTTTCATATTTTCTCTTCTTCTGATTTTGTTTTTCTTTTCATAGTGGAGAAAGAAAAAGATAGTTAAGTTGGCTGGCTTTCGCTTTTCGGTCAGTCACCATTGGTACAGTTGTGCGCGGAGGAGTCGTGGTTTCCATCCACTCTCAGTCCTTCTCATTATCATTTGAAGTACAGGGGCCTGATCATGTGCATCGCTGTTCTCTCCTCACTCTGAAAACGAATGGAGCTCTTCTCCATTAACTTCTGTGAGTTAGACTCTGCAGGTCTTTTGCAGTCCAACTAAGGTCACACGGTTTCAGGGTAGTTGCTGCGAAGGAACAGGATCTCTGATAAATGCTTCGTGTTGCTTGGTTCCCCTGTTCATTTCAAAATTCAATGATTCCACTAAGCAAAGGTCTTCTTCTTCTAGTTAGCAGATAAATTCATCAACCTAGAAGCCTGAAACTTACTAGAGGTGTGTACATGATTTCAAGAGCATTATAACAGTCATACGTGTCTGTTGAAAAAACTATGTCGCAAGCAACGGAGATATTATCCCTACTTGTTTTTTTTTTGGCGTGAATATTGTCCCTATTTGTTGTAACTATAGAAATGGTCCATTTTCATGAAAACAATTTATTGACCAAATAAACTGTAAGTAATTTTTCAACCCAAAAAAAACCCACTTACTATGCCCCACAGTTAGAGAAATACGCAACTATAGAGAAACTATAATTGTGTCATCAATCTTATCAGCAAAGTCATGGCCTGGACCCCAAACTATAGAGAATCTCCTAGCAAAACTACAATAGCGTCAAGTGGAAAATATATAGGACAAGGATGTCATCAAATCTTATTAGCAAAGCAATGGCGACAATGTGACACAGTTTTAGCCTTCTAAATCCATAAACTCAAATTAATCTGCCTAAAGCATGTTGGCAGCATCCTCTTAGTTCATTCAAATATTTCTTCATAGAGGCAGACTATATAGATCATCATTTTTAAGACCCTGCAGCAAAAATCAGAAATATAAGTTTGAGAATCACCAAATGTACTTTACATTAGAACTTGACGGAAAATCAAATTCATTAATTTCATCCTGACCGATTTAATAGATCTATTACAAAAAATAGTCTGTTTTGTTTATGTATCTTAAAGAACTTACATTTAAACTCTCTCTCTCTCTCTCTCTCTCTCTCTCTCTATATATATATATATATATATATATATATATATATATAGTATATATTATCCATCCCGTGAGCTGCAAGTGTATGACATGTGAGCCCCCACACCCGATGTGATTAGTAGGGGGCTCACATGTCATACACTTGCAGCTCACGGGGAAAAATTGAGCTGCCAGCTCACGCTCCATTATTCTCGATGAGAATAATGGAGGTGAGCTGGCAGCTCACCTCTCCCCGTGAGCTGCAAGTGTATACATGTGAGCCGCAGCACCGGATGTGATACTATAAGGGGCGGCTCACATGTCATACACTTGCAGGCTCACGGGAAAATTGAGCTGCCAGCTCACCTCCATTATTCTCTCTCTCTCTCTCTATATATATATATATATATATATATATTATTTTTTTTTTTTTTTTCTGGCGCACCTATATGTAACCCTGTAACTTCCATTTGTGTAGAGAAATGCCCAGCCTAGGTACTATACACTAGAAGACCAATCTACATTACTAAATTTCCTTTTCGCCTCCAATGAGCCCAGCAAGATGCTAGGCCCAAAATGTAAAAGAAGATGCACACATTTTCGCCATGAGCACTCTTGGCAGAGTAGCTTGTACATGGACTTCACAGCAATATGATCATGGAGCGTGCTGTGAAGGAAAAATCAACAATCTCCATGATCCTCAGCCAAGGACATGTTACATGATGGTCTTCCATCTAAAAATTTCCTTAGGGGGGTATTTTGGTTGGGACAAATTGGGGCTAAGTGAAAAAATTATTCCAATGGAACAATTTTATCATTTTAGGATATTTTGAGTGGGGTAAAGTGGGATAATGAGATAATTTAAACATTTGATTTGACAATTCATGTGAGATAATTGATGATGTGGCACCTTATTAAAATATAATTTTATCTATTATTTGACAATTCATGTGAGATAATTGATGATGTGGCACCTTATTAAAATATAATTTTATCTATTAATTACTTCTAAATTAACTTATCCAATTGGTTTAGTATATTATTTAGTATATTATTATAATATAAATATTATTTTAGTTTATATTAAAATATAATATATTATACTATATTTACAAATTACTATTATTAATTATTATATTATATTATATTATATTATATTAGCATGCTATACTATATATAATAATTAATATAATATAATATTTTAATAATATAATATTTAATATAATACATTATTTTATTTATACAAAAATTGTTATACAATAATTACTAATTACTATTATATTAGTATGGCTACATTATTATAATATTCGATATAATATATATATATATTATATTTTAATTTTAATAAAAATTTTAAAAAAATTTACATTGAATAAAGTAAAATATTATAATATTTTATAAAGTACATTATATCCTATGATACAATATTATAAGTATATTAAATTAAATATATATATTATTAAAGTATTATATTATATATATTATTCATATATTATATCGAATATTAATATAATGTAGCATACTCAATATAATAGTAATTGTTAATTATTGATAATTACAATAATATATATTAAAAGGTATCATGTTATAGTTAATATATTATATTATTTCAAACTATAGTATTATATTATATTATATCATAATATTTTATTAATATTAGTAATTATTATATTATATTACAATAGTATGTCATATATATAATAATATTTTATAAATTAGTTATATAATAATATATATTATTAAAATATTATATAATATTATAATAAATAAGTTATACTATAATTACTAATTAATATTATATAATAATATATTACATAATACTATTAATATATGTTATTAAAATATTAATATATGTTATTATATGATATTATTAATATATGTTATTAAATATTGTTATTAAAATATTAATATATATTACTAAAATATTATATAATATTATAATAAATACGTTATACTATAATTACTAATTAATATTATATAATAATATATTACATAATATTATTAATATATGTTATTAAAATATTATATATATGATATTAAAATATTAATATAGGTTATTATATAATATTATTAATATATGTTATTACAATATTATAATAAATACATTATACTATAATTACTATTATATAATATTATTAATATATGTTATTAGATTATGTCATTAAAACATTAATATATGTTATATTTTATATATCATGTCATATGTTTATAATATAATTGCATGTATTAGTTAAGTAATACAAAAATATTTTAAAATTATCCTAATTGCCTTCAAAATGGAACAACATTGTTCCAATATGAAGGATGGGGTAATTTTTTACTATTGGGACAAATTTTTTGTATATGAATAGAGTAATTTTATCCTAAGTGGTGTAATTGTCTCACTAGTGTTCCAAAAAACCAATATCACAAAAAGGTATTACCCTTGTTCCATTGTCCCAATGAATAACACTATGAAATAGAAATGCTTGGTTTCTACCCCTTTCTTTTTCAGTACTAGCCTTGCCTCTACCGATGGCAGTTGTTGGAGGCGGTGCGGTTAGCTGGAGGATGTCCATTATTTGTCGAGGAAAATATAGATCCAAGATCACCAGCTCTTTTAGCACTGTTGTCTGTATTTGTGTACCCCATGCTCATTAATGAGTTTGAATTTGCACCACTTGATGAATGTCTTAAATTAGCACCAGTTGCTTTGTTGGTACCAGAAACTGAGCTACCTTCGTATGAATTTGATAGTTACATTTGGATCATTGTTGCTTACAAAGCCTAAGCCATGCGTGCTGCTGGCTGAAATACAAGGTTTTGGAGGCCAATTAGCAAAAGGATCTAAATCGTCAAAACTACCTTCAGAAAGGCCCCCAGAATTCTGCGTCTCTTTCTCATTAGTATTCAAGTGGGAGGAAAGTAGTGGAAGAAATTGGAGGCGGCCACTCAACGTTGACTGGTGTAAATGATGAAGGTTGGTGGCTAACTGTTGATGAAGCAGTAACTGTAGAAGGCTGTGAAATTGGCATTGGTCGAATGGGTTGTGGATTGGGTTCCAAAGGAACAGATGGGGTAGTTGTCACTTCGGTTATTGAGAACCCCAATCTTCATCCCATGTTGTGCTGTTCTTTGATGAAGAAACAGGTATGGTTGCCTTCTGATTTGGTTCAGATTAAAGCCCATTACACATTGAAGTCAAGACTCTTAACTATAGGAGGACTGGCATCAGAAACGGTCAAGCCTCCTTCTATCTTCAATCTTTCTGCAAGAAGAAATAAGCACAAAGCTCAGATAACCTTTTAAACTCGGACACATGAAAGCAAAGATTGTGTTAAAACATAAAATACCTCAACATGTCCCTCACAAAAAGCATTTACTTTGAGAATTGCTGAATGGTTAGTTGCTGTGCAGTAAGCAGAGGGCAAAGGAGGGGAAGGACTTGCTCTGCAGCAAATTATATGCCACACTGAAGAACTGTAACCAAAAGTGAGCTGTTATTGACTATAAATGACTAACAACAAATATGAAAATCCATATGAACTAATGTAAGCATAAGGGGTAAAAAATCTTTAAGGTGAATCAGAGAAAGAAATCAATAACATTGAACCTCAAACATATAAGAAAGGGAAGAAAAGAAAACCTGTTTAAAAATTGAATTTGAAACTCCCAGGGGGCACTGGCACATAAGAGCAGGTGCAGAGCGGTCGACAGCAGTATGACGCTGCAATGTTTGCAAGATGTCCAATATAGCATGTTTGTCGAGTGATGGAACCAAATCAGCTAAGCAGCAGAGAGCATTCACTTGCACCTGGTTGAAGTCTGCAAAATATTGAGTATAAAAACACAACTCTTTGTACATTTTAATTACAACAGATGGAGATGAGAAGGGAGGTTAGAAGGGAGCAAGCAGGTAACAGTATAATCTTATTTTTCTTAGTTAAACAGAAACATAAACAGTAGGAATGTCAATGACAAGAAATATATGTATGCTTCAAAAGATAAATATTTTGCTAACCATAATAAATAAAGCACACGTACTGCAGCAACAGTTGTCCTAAGAGCTAAGCTGTGAACACGAGGCAAGAGACCATATGAATCACCTGCATGTCAAGTTGTCTTGCAAGGGTGACGGTTCTTTGAGAAACCTCATCTTGCATACGAGCATCAATATCATCATAAGCTTGAACAGGCAATGGCGGGACTTGTGAAATAAGGTCCTGATTACTAGCCTAGAAAAAAAAGAAAAGTGGGAATGTGATCAGAACACTACAATAAACATTTAAAGGTTACAAGTCCCTATCATAAGTTAAAGAGTTGGTTAGCTCATGAGACTAATAAGAATGACTGTGATTAAAACGTAGAGCATTGGGAACATAAAAAAATAAAAATAAAAATACTATTACATGAAACTGATGAAAAGTTTAAACACATGTAGCCGTGATGCTTTATCTGCTCGACAAGACCAACCAAAACATCGACCAGTATTTGACACCGAAATTGTGATGTTATAATTGGTGGACAGAAACCAACCAAGTTATGTTACCTAGGTACTTCTATCTGATTGTCGTACCCGTACCCGACAAGGTACCCAAACTCCTTGGACACTCCTTGCATATATGCATACATTTATTTGGGCATCTACTCAATTATACAATACACGTTTCAATTTTAAACACTTGTCATACATTTTTTGGACATATATCCTACCCTTCACATCCACTTCTTGAAACTCGTTGGACATAGGTTAGGTTCCGAACTACGATTTTAGAGGGTCGTTTGGATGTCTAGTTCAAAAACTACCGCTTTCCCGGTTTACAATCCATATAATAAAAGAAACATAAAAATGTTATAGAGAAGTTATAGGGATTTTAGTTCTCATAACATGTGAATGAAAACAATTTGATAGAATGTAAATTATTAATTCCAATATATAAATGTATATGTGCATACAAATATATATATACCCATGTCCCCGTACCCTACCTTTTACGAATCTGCCATGTCGTGTCCAGTACCTGTACTCGTACCCATGCAACATATCAACCAACATATAAACCTGTATGTGACACTGAAAAAGCGATGCTGTATCTGCTGAACAGAAAGCCAACATATATACCCTTATATGTCACTTCTTTAGAATATTACACGGTCAGCAACGTCACTTAATCAAAAAAACCAGGAGCTAATCAGTAAGCCACCAAGGTTTCATAATAGATATATGATCAAAATAAAACTTCTAAGAGTTGCTGACTCTCATGTCATGCACCTGTGATATCCAAAGCACTTGGTCTAGAAGCCTCATCCAGGGATGACATTCTTTGCAAATCTCCAACCAACTCTGAAGGAATCATAGAGAAAGCCTCACTAGACAAGTATGTCAATCTATTCATATACTGCAGTAGCAAAAAGAACAAAATGAAATGAGAGGTCACTCAGCACTATGTAAACATCCGTCACAACAAAAGAACAAATACCATAATCCACCAAGGCACCAACTACATGTGAGGTCAAATATGCAACTTATATTTATATTTATAATTAATAGTTATAAAACAAACACTAAATGCAAATGCAAGAAAGTAAGCTGCATCAGCAAAGATTATGCATTAAGTCACTGATACATCAGCAAAGATTTTGCATTACCTCATTGATAACTAAGTAATCCATCCATTACAAAAACGTACCTATTAAATATGAAAGTTACAGGTTATTAACATTGAAAAAAAGCACACTATAGTGAATGTATTTCCCGAAGCAACTATCCACAGATTCCATGACAAAGAAAACATTACACGCAAGTTCTGCCTGCAATCAGATGCTTATGTATAGGTAAAAGCCTTTAAAGATGAAACATATGAATCAGAGCAAATTATAGAGATCATGTATGTATGAACAATAATATCACAGGCTATCATCTCCGTACAAAGTATAGTACTATTCAGATAGTATAAAGAATTGAAACTTACCATCTTTACATTGTTATGACAATCCAGAAGGGGCTTGCGAGTGATTAGATAGTACGTGAAACAACCAAAACTAAATATGTCAGAAGAACATCCAGCAGCGAGTTCTTTATTTCGTACCAGTTCAGGTGCAGTGTAATTTAGTGATGGCTGAAGGGGTAAAATAGCATCCTCAACATCATACTCCTGGAAAGATACAAAGTAATCATTAACCATTTGATTTTTTTTATCTTCTTTTTTCCTTCTCTTTTTTGCCGCCAACAGTTAGGTGTTCAAGTCCTCAGCATTACCAAGAGTGTGAGTTTACTTCTATCACGTCAGGACTTTTCCAACATGTCTAGTTGTGCAATTTTGAAGCAAAATTATAGAGCACAAGAAATAATAAGTGAGACATGAAAATACTTACTGGATAATTAAATGGTTGCATGGAAGTTGAACCAGTTGATACCTGGTCAACAGAGGTAGCAAATCCGAAACCGCCTAGCTTCCAAGCTCCAGTAGAAGTCCTAAATACTGCCTAACATTATAAGGGGTACACAATTAATAGGTCAAAGATGAAATATCCTACTTCAGACTGCTTTCAAGATCAGAAAACATAAATGGGTTGGTCGATAGTGCAATTGCCAAAAAAAAAAAAAAAAACTCAGATATAATCTTCAAAAATCTAAAAGAAAAGAATAAAAGTAAGCTTGTAGTTTACCTTGGCACAAACCCTGAAGGTACCTAATCTAGATCTGACCTAAGGCTCAATCAAAACCTAGGCAAAATGTATAGCATCTAAATTAACTGACAGATCCAAGGCCAAGGCCACTACAGGAAGCATTTGGGTTAAGCTCGTAAACGATTCATGCTCCAATAACATTATAACTCGGGATAGTTGCTCCACCACTTTATGTTACAGTTATTTATATTGATAATTCAAATTGATGATCCATGGAATCCTCTTAACCATTAATATATTATGCTGACTTGATAATTGAATATGACTACATGAGAATGTGCATATTCTGTTAAAAACTTGCATCTCAAAGATTTTAAGAATGACGAACTTCAATGTAGAACAGTGAACTAGCCCTCAAACAACCATGTAAAAACAACAAAACTTGTCAAACAGAATTAAGAAGAGGAAAAGGACAAAATGTGTGTACTGTCACCAGGCTATAGGAACAAGTACTCAACATAGTCAAGGAACCCATGTAAAACTGGCGAAGCATGTTTATTGGATAAAAAAATATAACTTCAGGAGCTATAGCTCAATGAATGAGTATGAGACATGCATTGTTATGAAGAAAGTCTAAAGTTTCTGCAGATCTGAAGAAGCCCATGTTTAACTTCCAACAACCCCATTTCCTGCAAAGTATAACAAAAATGACATCACCAAGTAAAGTAATGAGAAAAGCGTGATACGTTATCATCAGGAAATCACAGACATACAAAAAGTAATGTGTGTATGATTGTGTTCATGTAGGTGTGAAGACCTTCAACAGTACAGAGCATGAACTTACTGTTACAAGATTGCAGTGAGTGCACAACTAATACCAAAAGCATGAAAAGTTTATACACAGCAAAGATCTTCTGGAAGTGTTTAACTAAAAAAATTCTCAGTGAGAACACAAGAGACAGCAACCAAGCACTTATGCCCAAGGTTTTAAATATCTAATATCAGGGAAATATCAACAACCAAAATTCATATTGGATTGTAGATATCGAGGAAATATTGGGGATTTTCAGAAAATATCGAAGTGTCATATCAGATGATGTGCATATATAATCATGGTTTTAAATATCGGCCGATAATCCGATATTATCGCCGAGTTATCGGATTTGGGAGCTTTCCGCTAGGATAAGTAGGATTTTTATTTGGTTATCGTTTTTTGAGGTTTATCGCGAGTTATCGACGATAAATGTACTTATCAGCCGATAAGTAGGCTCTAAATATCGGTTTTATCGGCCGATAAGTAGGATTTGGGAGCTTTTACTTTCTTTTGGATTTGCTCTTTGAATGTTTACAAATTATGAACTATTTGTTGCTTTTGGAACTTGGTTGATTGGTGATTAGCTTATGTTTGTTTATGGATATTGATAATGGCTCATAACTACTAAATATCAACTTAGTAAGTTAGTTTATGAATCTCATGATTAAACAATAATTATGTAGATGCGTAGATGGTTCTTCATTCTTGATGTTATCGTATTATTTGCTAGTTTATTATTCCATTTTGACTAACATTATATTATTTTTCAAGCTTATGTTTGTTTATTATTTGCTAGTATATTACTCCGATAAATACTATTTATCCCTGATATATCCCCGATTTCCGCTATGCGATAAGAATTTTGACCGTCCGATAAATCCCCGATAACCGACATTTAAAACCTTGTATATAATATAATGTCCTACAATGTAATCTAAACATACTTAATGCAATCCAAGGGAGCTTTTGGACATCATGGTGTTTCAGGTGCTTCCATGGTGTTTTTGTTAGGCCACAACATCCAAAACCAAAAAGTTCACACTTATTTCAAAACAACAAAAAGGTGTTTTGAGTTTAAAGAGTGTTAATATAATATATAATATATATTATGTGTTATATAATATAATATGTTAAATTATATTATATTATTAATATCTTACATTGTAATATAATATATTATAGCCTCTTAATATATCAATACTATGTTTAGTACTATTAATTAATAATACTATATTATAATTAATATAATATAATAGTGATATTTTAAATACAATTATGTTTTATAAATAATAAACAATAATAAAATAAAATATATTAATAAAAAATCTAATGATAAAATAAAAAAGATGGACAAGAACTATATTGTTTTATGACAAGCCATATAAAAGGGCTATAAGAAAGAGCGTACTAGAATTTGCTAAAAAGCTTCATATGCTCAATTTTTTGCTAAAAACTTTAGATAAATTTTGTAGAAATATATTGTTTTCTGACAAGCCATATAAAAGGACATATCATCCAACTTACGTTGGCAAATCGGCAATGTCGGAGATATATCGTCCAAACACTACCAAAAAGCGGTAAAGGACATTGACACCATATCATTTTGTTTTGCAGAAAGCATTATAAAGGGATAAATCGGTCTATATACTGGCTATATTAGGGATATTTAAAACAATGCTTATGCCACCATGTCAAGAACATGATCTCCACTATGACCTGTTTTCTACATCAAGAAAAGGAGAAGAAAAAAGGGCCAAAAACTTAACTTGAGTAGGAGCTATTTATCTCGTTCACCTCAGATTCGTATGTCAGATTTACATTTTTCTAATCAATAAGCAGGCTTTTGCATATGATGATGACACAGCCGACTCTTCAATATGAACTATACCAACCTAGCTGTTTCTTTATCAGTTCTAGTGAATGCATTTGAAAATGACTAACATTATTTGGGACCTCAACCAAAACTAAGGTAACTGATATTATACAGTTTTTTTAATAATAATAATAATAATTATTATTATTATTATTATTATTATTATTATTATTATTATTATAATTATTATAATTATTATTATTATTATTATTATTATTACTATTATTATTATTATTACTATTATTATTATTACTACTACTACTACTACTATTATTATTATTACTACTACTACTACTATTATTATTATTATTACTACTACTACTATTATTATTACTACTACTACTATTACTATTATTATTACTACTACTACTACTATTATTACTACTACTACTATTATTATTATTATTATTATTATTACTACTACCAGTTCTAGTGAATGCAATTTGTAAGTTGTTAACATCATATGAGAATTTAGTCAATATTCCAAATCCTTCTTCTGTAAACCCTCCATCTACCCTATCACCACTTAGCCCACACCAACAATACAATGAAACATGAGTTAGTACCTTTCGGCTAAATTTATTCAAATTTATATGCCTAGTTTAGTCAAAATTTGTACACTACTCCTCAAACAAAGTGCAGTCAGTGTCAATCACAATATGTGCTACCAGCCCTCCATGTTGTGCACAATTCAACCATTATATCATCGCTCTCTTTGATACGGTTATCCACGTTCAATGTATAAAACTCACACATCAATTGAAAATTCAACATAGTTATAAAAAAAAGGAGAGAAAAATCACAATACCATCCCCTTTAGCTCTTTAGGAACCTTCTCAACATTCTCCAAATCCCCCAACGCATTCGCCACCGACGCAAACAGCGACTCCGTCACCATCGCCATCGCATTCTTGCTCTCTCCATTGCCTGCACAACAAGCACAAACCCCGGCCGCGAATCCTCACCATCCGTCGCCGCATCACCGCTTAACTAACCACATCAAAGATCATCTTCCGCGCCTCGAGAGCCAGTCAACCGTAGCCGTCGTAACGCCATTTTGTCGAGGTCGACAGACGACATGTGAGGCACCGGGCTCGACGGGCCGAGAGCGCGTGGGCGCGCGATCAGGCGCCAGCACGTGTCCGACCACCGCGTGCCACGCTTGGTGCAGGAGATCGTATCCTTGGAGCGCGCGAAGGCGGGCGACCTCTTGGACGTGTGTTGGACTGTTTTCATGACGCATGCCTTTTAATGTCGAGGAGCATGATGATGGGATTTGGGGGAAGGAGTTTAGTGTTAGGGTTTCGAGGGATAGGGTTGGAAGCGGCCGTCGACGGAGAACGTGGGATGCTCGCTGAGTGGTTTTTTGTTTGCTTTTTTGGCAGCTGCCGTAAGATGTCTCGCGGGAAGGGGAGAAATCAAAAGCTGGTGGGGCCAGTTGACAGCTGGAGTTCTTGTGGGGTCCGCGCGTACTTATCTTGGGTCTTGGCTAAAAATTGCAGAAAAGTACTGTTGTTTAGGTATTTTGCATTCAGAATTCATTTGTATAAGCAAGATAACTAAGCGTACATCGAAATTTTGCATGTCCAGCGGTGACTAGTGAGGTACTCGAATTTATAGCAGATGAAAATTTTTAGGAGTGCACTTTCGTGACTACATTTGTTAACATATACATCCATTTTCTAGGCATAAGATACGAGCACTTACTACATACCATAAAAAAAATCAGAAAAGACAAAGTTCAAGTGGATAGAAGCAGAACTAGTAAGTGAGAGAAGTGGAACCAGCTAATTAGTGGTTTCCACTTTCTTTCTTCTTTTTCTTCCTTTTTATTTTTTTCCTTTTTTTTCGCTCAATTAATTAGACACTTGATAGAAGGTAGAGCACTTAACGTGGCAACCTGAGCTATGGAAGGGAAATAGTTAGTCTGTTAGTGGAAAGCAAAATGCACTCGCATCTTATTTATTCGCTCTTTATCTATAAGTAGCTTAATTAAAATGTGTTGATAAATAAAGCAGGTAATGAGCTTTATCACATAATAAACTCATCAGAGCTGCTGATTTATGCTCTGTATCTGGTGGTATAGTATATATATATATATATATATAAATAGATAATACCTATAAATATATACTGAAGGTTATTTGGTAAATATATATATATATATATAGTTATATATTATATAATATATATATATATAATATATATATATATATATACGGCAGATACAGAGATAAAATCAGTAATATATATATATATATCATATATATATATATAACTAGGGGTAGAATTGGGAAATATTAGGATAATATATAGGGTCCAGACATATATTATATACTATATATAATATATATAGTCTATATAAGTATATATACTATATATATATATATATATATATATATATATATATATATATATATATAGAGAGAGAGAGAGAGAGAGAGTAAAACTCTTGTTAACTTAAGTGGACCGAGTGCTTCGTCCTCCAAAGTTTTTAACCGTTGGATTGTGAATCTTAGTAAAGATCTTGATCAAAATAAAGATACTCATTTATTACAAAAGGATATAATTGACATTAACAAAATAAGCAATTAATGTTCCTCTTCCTCCATGTTTTTTAGGCAACAGAGAGAAAGAAACAAAATTCACGTTCTGGCTTCACCATGGCGAGCGCCTCAATTCGACTTAATTCTTGTTCATATCAACCTTATCTACAATAACACATAAATAAGAAAAAGTTTCAGCTTTCTTTTTCTTAGGGCAACGGGAAGAAGGAAAAAAAATTCAATGATTGTAATTGTTTGAATTTGATTCACTGCCATGCACTTCAATCCGAGGTCATGCCTAACTTCATGCTTCAAACCGAGATCACACTCAACTCCGTGCAGTCGGTCCTCTTCTCATTGCCATGTGCATCTCTTGTTCCCTCTGTCGCGAGCCCAGCCCTTCGAAGCTCTCAACGACTATCACGACATGTGCATCAGTTCTAATCTAGCTGGCAATTAATTCATGATGTTTTGTATTTGTGTATCTTTTTCTTTGGTGTGATTATACATTTTTTTTACCTGTAACCGAGTTCAGGATGTAGGTGGAGGTAAGAAATGACGGGAAGCAATGGCGGGAAGAGGATGGGAAGCAATGACGGGAAGAGGGTATCTTATTATTTTTTTGTCCATATTAAGTAACTTTGGGTTTCCTTTTTTATTAATTCTAAGAATACATTTGTAATAAATGAGTATCTTTATTTTAATCAAGATTCACGATCTAACGGTTAAAAAGCTTGGTGGACGGAGCACTCAATCCACTTAAGTTGACAAGAGTTTTACTATATATATATATATATATATATTTTCCTTTTTTATTAATTCTAAGAATACATTTGTAATAAATGAGTATCTTTATTTTAATCAAGATTCACGATCTAACGGTTAAAAAGCTTGGTGGACGGAGCACTCAATCCACTTAAGTTGACAAGAGTTTTACTATATATATATATATATATTGTGGATTTAGATTTTAAAGCTTGGGAAAAAGAAGAAACAGGGGGAATCACCACCAATTCGACCTCATCAGCCCAGGAGGCCCTAGATGAGCTGCCGACTCCATTTCTGAGATATTGAGCTTGAATTCCTTCCAGTCAAGAAATCTGTAGATCTTAGGATTTCCTCCATTGATTTCTTCATCCTCTCTCCTTTTGGACCTGTCGAGCCCATTACATCTTCGCTGAGTTCATCATCATCTTCCACAAGATTAGTATCAAATTGATCCTCGAGAGCTTGCGAACAAGAGCTTTTAGATCGCAGAGCAATAGTGAGTATCTTTCTTCCACTTCTATTCTTCTTCTTCGCCATTAAAAACTAAGCAGGGGCGTAGGATAGAGGAGAGTAGATCGCCCGCTAACTTGCGCCTTCAGACATCCTGCTCCTTTTAACCTTAAATTGCCTTAACGTTACCTTCATCATCAGTATAGGTTCTTTTTACAAACTATCTTTGAATCTTGCTGATATGTCAATGACGTGGTGGGATAAACTTCTAATTTCACTAATTTTTTATTGATGTGATAGAGTTGTAGTAGGAAAAACATGAATTATCAGTTATTTTCTTTTTGCTGCCTGGATAGTGAGTTGGCAGAGCTACGTCATGCTACTTCAGCAATATTTAGTGAAAGTTTGTAAAAAGGACTTAGAATGGTGATGTATGTAATGTTAAGGACAACCACTAAAGACTTTGAAACATTAAGGACCTAGGCGATATTTGACTGATACATCAGATACCTCCACAGAACTTTTACCAAAGAATAAACTAGATTCTTTTTGGAATTATATGTTAAAAGTTTTAATTCTTTAAAAAATTTTCCTAATCAAATTTTTATTCTAAAACCACTCTCAGTCTTAGAACCTATTGCACCATTTTAATTATTTAATTATCTAGATTAATGATGATGTAATTATAAATTGAATGCAAAATTGTTGATTTCGAGTAGGAGACCATTCTGATAGAGTTGTGGTGCCTAATGAATTGTGTGCGTTCTCTCTTGTAGCTGTAGCTTCATCAAAAGGGAAAAAAGTCAATGCATGGCTGTGAGATGTAGTCAATTGCCAAATCAAGTAAAAAATCGATGTTTTTTTGTTATCATCTTTTCTTTCTTTCTTGTTTTATCTCTCACTTATAGGAGATTACATTCCAAGGAAAACCATATGAATAGAATGGAATTGTGGGTCTGGACCATCTCCACGTTGATTAGGATAGTTGGACTGTGCGGTTGTGCCTAATTTGGTCAGCACGAAATAGAATTTGCTTTTTTGTTCGTCTGTTTTAAATCTCTCTCTCTCTCTCTCAGATTAATGGGTATCCTTGTCATAGGAGGGGATTTCCTCCTTGACGTCTCTAAAATCACATGATTGAGCGACATTGTGGATGATCCGCTCCGTTGAACTTGATCTACATATTCTAAAACCCCAACACACCAAGTTTGGGGTGAATTCGTCATCGTTTGACCCTCCATCGAGCCATGTGAAAAGTTCTATTCATTCAAAACCGTTAAAATTGATACGAGGGGATGAAGGGTCAAACGACGACGGGTTCACCCCAAACTTGGTGTGTTGGGGTTTTAGAATATGTAGATCAAGTTCAACGGAGCGGATCATCCATGGGTTAAACATCATTATAGTCCACTTCTTTGTTTTATAGTCAGAAAGACTGTTTTCTAATTTATGACACTCCAAAATAGGAATTCGATGTGCACTTCATGGAAACAAACAGCAGACTCTCCTCTCACAAGAAGTAAGGTTTTTCTCTAGTTGAGTTCTTCACATCACCGTATGCCCAAAATTCTAGTCAGAAACTATTCGGTGCAGAGCAAGACGAACTCATGCGTGCAGCTCTAGAACCATCTCAAGCCTCATAATACTGAAGAACTCAAAATTTTCACACAGCTACTGAGCTGATGATCCATACCGCGAACCAATAACATAACAAATAAAATTCGGAAAGTAGTTCATAGCTCACAACCTCATACAGACTCAACAATATTCTGGTACATAACCGAATACTAATTCTGAGCTTAAGTCTTACAATTACCCTCTCCCAAAACATCACATACCTTCAACTCAATTTCTAGCCTGTCGCAGCTCCGGGCGCACAAAATCAGCATCTGCTGGAACCGAGATATCCACAGTCGGCCTCAACTGTGCACAAACTTCAATGGCGTCATGAATTGGATCAGACAAGAAGTTGCTGATTAGGTCTTGGTTGATGGGTGTGGTGTTGTCAACAGCTACGAAGGCTTGTTGCATTAGGACATAGTCGAATCGTGGGGCCCACTTCCTAGATCCCAGTCGAGCAGTTGTAGAGCAATTGTCCACCATGAATGAAACCCCGCGAGCATGCATGAATGGGTTAAGGGAGTCCACAGCCTCGATCACACTCTCATTGATGATTTCTGAGTAAGAGTGGCCCTTCTTTCTTAGAATTTCAATCTGCATTAATTTCCAATTACATTATTTAACATGAAGATGGACTAAACACATGCGTGTTTAGTCCCCAGGATAATGAGCAGAGGAAAATGAATAGCTTGAGCTGAGCCTTAAGCTGGACAAATAGAACTTCCCCATGTGAAGGCAAAAGAATCTTAATTTCCCCCCTTCCCAGTTCTCTTATGTTCTTCTATGCAAACAACAACTTCAAACGATGAAAGAAGTACCTGAGCCATCATCAGAGCTACAAAAACCCCAGCAGTGAAGGGATGCAAAGGGCCCAAGTCACCTTCAGGCCGCACAGAGCGAACTCGCTCACCAACTTTCCACATGCGTGTCTGATCAATTTTGCCCATTGGGAAAGCCGGAAGCCCCTGTTTTTCCTGTCATACAAAAGTAACCATTTAGCCAAAAACTCATTGCTTTTGGACAAATCATGACCAAAATTAATTGTAGATATAATTACAAATCAAATTTAGGAGCTTACTTGGAATCGTCGCCCAGCCAATACAACACTCCGAATCTCACTCCCAGAGGCAACATCCTCATAGCATTCATACAATATATCCATGCAAGGATAGTATGAGGCGCTATATGCAGCATTAAACTCTTTCTTCCCCTCCTCAGACAATGAATTGTACACGGAGAGCATGCCCTGAAATAAATAGGTCTCGTCATTGCGTCCTATCATCTCATGTGATAAAGTGTAACCAGGACTTGGTTATTTACCTTTGTTGAAATGGTTCTAGATACGATTCCTGTAATGCACTCAACAGTGTTTTTGTAAGCCAACTCCTCATTCATTCCATTATCTGTGTACCTTTGGAACAAAGCCTCTACAATTCCATGAACAGCGCCGAGCAGAATACCTAAAAGTAAAACAGTTAGCGAACTTGCACCGCGGAAGGAAAGATACATCGGCAAGTCATTTCACTAACCACGCTCGCCAAAGATGTCGCTCTTGTACTCCTGCTCTAATGTAGTGGCGAATGTAAAGGGAGACCCTAAAGCAACTGACCACCCTAGAGCAACATTTGTAGCCCTGCCATCAACATCCTATTTACAACAACAACAAAAATGGTAAGAAGTGGCCAACACAGCATTCACAAGTCTGTTCAAAGTATGACCCATGCATACTTATTGTATAAACAAACAAAATCAACCAAAAACTCATTAATTATCCATTAACTATAATAGATATGATATTAGCATACCCGGTGAACTGCAAAACTAGAGTTGATGCCAGCACCATTGATCTCCTTTCCCTGAACATAGAGCCTCCTTACTGATGGGCCCATTCCCTTTGGGCATACAGCAATCACACTGATGTTCTTGGGGAAATCAAGACCAATCGACTGCAAGTGACCCAGAAGGAAACCATGTGAAAGCCCCAGGATACTGTTTGGCTTCATGTGAGAGAACACTTTCTCATAATTGTCTGCCTGCATTATTAACCAGAAAAGAGTTTATATTGACTTGATCCCTCCGTTAAAAAGAGGGTGTACTGTAAGGAACCACAAATTTTTTGAAGAGACAATGTGCTGGAAGAATATGTGATCCTATATGGAACTAAACATAGAAGTTTAGCTAAGGGTACACCTACTTGTGTGAATTTCGCTCAGGTAACCATCCACTTGACTTGTAGAACCAATTTTAGAAATGACACTTCAAAGAAATTGATATCCACCCCAAAAACTGTTTCCATGAACTGAAGTAATTCAGAGTTCAAAGAAAACAGCGCAAGAGGACAGAGGAAGGAGGGAGATCAACATCAACATCCATTTTAAAAGGACTATGGACCCATTTACACCCTATTTATTGTAAGTTCTAACTGCAGGAAAAGTAAGCTTCCCCTCTTTAGACAAAATAAAGTGCTTGATGTTTTCACTTTCAACAATCTTCGTATAAGACGTGCAAATCCACCAAAATTCCAGACTACGAACAAATTTCAGTGAAAAATATATAGAATAATCATCCAAAATTATTATCCCTATAGAATAAACTTAGAAAAATTTAGATATCAGAAATACACTAAAGAACTGAAGATCTAGCATATGAAAGAGAAAATTTATAAACTCAGTGGCCACTCACCATACAAAAAACATTAAGCAATAAGCAGTAAATTGGCCACCCAATGTATTACCATCCAGGAGTATGCAACATAAAATTGAAAGGAAGAGGTTGCTCTAGAGAAAATTAAACTCATGCGACCAAGTACATATTAACAAAGTTACAGAGAAGAAACAAGAGAAAAAACGATGTAGAATTAGTGGTGCAGAAGTATGGATGGACTTCAAAATGCCCATAATTGGATACTCAGTATCAACTGACCTGTGCAGCGTCTGAAATCAGTAGCAACACAAGATCACTGCCCGAGACAGTTTCCCAGATATCGCCTAGGGTTCCACTCTCCTCAGTAAACCCAGCAGCACGTGCTTCGTCAAAAGAACGAGAACCCTTCCTCAGTCCAATCTGCAAAGAACATGTAAGAAAATGTTATGACAAAACAGAAGAGAAAACAGAAATATGGAGCTGATAGGCCCATTTATGGCCAAAAGGTCTAATGACACCTAGGAAAGCTAGTTCCATATAAGCTTGAAGCTTGAGGAAAGAAAGAAGAGGCAGAGTTTTTCTCAAACTTCACTCAATTTTGCAGAAGGAGAGAAGTTTATTATTATATATTCAAAGGAAGAATAGCCAATAAACAGTAGGAGAGAAGGTTATTATATATTCAATGCTAAATTGCAGAAAACAAAAATAAGCTGATTCAATAAGGAATATGGTAGCCTTGACCCAGTAGGAGATAACTCTATTACGTGTTCAAGGTTAAATTCTAATTTACAGGAAACAAAATAAAGCTGATCCAATAGAAAACCGGGATGACCTTGACCACAATGTCTGACTTAGCCTCTGCAAGTGAATCCCTTAGATTTTGTGCTTGAGCTGGACCCTGCATAGTTAAAACAGAGATCAAACAAATATCCAGATGTCAAACATAAATATAAGGGCTCCCAGAGACCAGATAAGAAAGTTTGTACCCCAAAAAAGAAAGAAGTAGGAATTTTTTCCATGTGAGGTGGAATGCCAGATGATACCAACTTTTAACATCAACCTCAAATTATAATATAACTGAGTCTCAGATGAACAATGATATAAACTGCTATATCAGGAAAGCCTATATGACATTATGTTGTTCATAAAAGCCAACTTCACTCTCCACAGGAGTATATTAATTAAGAGATCAAACTTGACAAATATACTTGTGAGTCTATATTCAAGTATTAGTCTATCATGAAAAAAGGTTGTAGGTTTATACATATGAAATACTTGAAAGAGCTTTGCTTCAATAACCTAGACGATTGAGATTTACGAATGCAAGTTGTTGTCCAAAGGGCTCATCCACATTCAAATTCACGTGATTTTTATTTCCTGAGATATTTAAGTATCATATTCCAATATAACCTGGAAAAAAAAAGAAAGAACATACTGGACACAGAATCTCTCAGTGCTTTTAAAAAAATCGCATTAATTATCCAACACCATCATAAAAATAGCTATAAATAGGAATGAATTTTCCCCACTTTTAACCCTTGATTCTTCACAAGCACGCAATAGAAGCAACCTGTAGATAAATATACCAAACAAAACAGGTCACCAACATACTACACTCTACAACAATAAGCTCACAGGCACATATGTGCATTTATCTACTAGTGGCCATTCTCCATTATACGACAACTCTAGAAAGTTAACGCATTTCTTTCTCGTGAAAAAAAGATTACTTCTTTTCGCAAAGTTTACGAAAACCAAACTTTCAGCTGAAAAAAATACGCAAATTGACAAAAGGAGGAGTTTATTTCTCACCTGTGATCCCCACCCAATTACCCCAATCTGCTTGATCCCCTCGAACGCATCCGGCAACAAATGGAACAAATCCCTCCCTCCTCTCACAATATACTACCAATCGAAATATTCCAAAAATCATCAATAAACAGCAAACAAAATAAAATCTAAACAAAATATCATAGAAAAGCAAGACACCTCATCGTGGCCAGCGAGAGTGACCTTCTCCTTCTTGAAAACAGAGGTCTCAAAGTCCAGAGTAGGAAAAGGTTTTCCAATCGAAGGCACAGAAGACACCATCCGAGCTCCAACAGCGCCGCTGCCGCCATTGGAGCGGATTTGAGGGAGGAGGCCAGTCAGGGTTTTGGATCCGGATCCGAACCCGAACCCTAGGGGAGTTGAGTGAGGGCTCAGGGTTTTGGGTCCGAGAGGGAGAGAGGAGAAGATGGGGATGGTGCTGATAGTGAATCTTATTATGGGACAGATTTTGCTGATTTTTTTTTTTTTGCGGAAAGTTCGTAGGATGATGTAGGTGACTTTTACATGGTGGGCCCACGTGTCAGTGAGTAGGTGTGGGTTTGGGCGTGGACATAAATGAGAGAGGCCGGGAACACGCGGCACAAATACTTGGTAGTATCTTTTTTATTTGAGGTTATTTAGTATTAGTACCTTACCTCTTCGATTATTTCATATTACTCCCTCACATGTATGAAGTTGCCGTGAGTGCCTAAAATCCCAGGTTATCGCAGTTTGGTCCCTCACTGACCAAAGTACCGTCAACTAATTGTTTTAAAAGGGTTATTTGTAATTTGACACTCTAAAATTTACACATTTATAAATTTTGATACCATAAAAAAAATCTGCTTTAATATTCTAAAGTTTATACTTTTTTTACTTTGATATCCTTAAAAAAATTTGAAGCTTTGGCTTCTAAAAGTTTACACTTGTTTAACTTTCATGTCCCAATGTTTTCATAATTTTAACTTTAATGTCTTAAAGCTTACACATTTTTTTAACTTTGATACCCTAAAGTTAGGGGTATCAAAGGGTCGAAAATAAAAGCTTGGAAAATCATAGTTAAAAGATATAAATATTGTCGCAACAAAGTTATCAGAAGCAAGTTTCTACGATATCAAAGCTAAAAAGGTGTAAGCATTAATGTATCTCAAGAACTTTTAGAGTATTAAAGTTAAAAGACATAAACTTCATAGCACCAAAGTGTAAATAATCTTTTTTTAGAGCAATATTGATTTTAAGATAGAAATCATAACCTAAGAGTATTTTGGTCATTGACGGACTATGTTGTTAACATCATTAGAATTTGAGGGACTAATAAATAATTATTAACATGAGGGATAAATATGAAATTATTAAAGATTTAAGGGACTTAGCATCTTTATTTATTTTGTTTTTTGTTTTGGCTGCTTCTTTCTGGGGCCAGAGGTGACGAAAAAAATAAGGGGTTTGTTGTTGTTTTGGCTCTTGGCGGAGCGCAAGAGTTGAGTCTAAATTCCAAAAATAGCCCACTGATGCGTCTAGCTTCCGAAAATCGCCCATTAAACTACTAATCCTTTGCGAAGATAATGGTGGCTGTTGGAAGGGTTTTCTCACGGATATCCGTGGGCAACCATTAGAGGGTGAGAGAAATAGAGTAGAAGAATCGTTTAAACAAAGCATTTGTTTGGTTACGTTAGCTTTTGATGGAAAGTTGTTTGGATAGACTAGTAATTTGTTTCGTCACGTCCAATTTACCTAACTTGTTAAGGTAAACTTAGGCTTCGTTTGGGTACTATGGTGTTTTCTTTGTTGTGTTTTTGTAAGAAAAACACTATGGTGTTGTGCTTTTCCCTTAAAACGTTTTCAAAACAACATGTTAAGTATTTTTGGTCAACATTAGTTTGACTCATTACAACATTAATATTAAGGGGTTTTTGCTTTTAGACCCATTTGTTTACTCCCATTTATCTTTAAACCAAAGTACTGTTATTTCTATCTTTAAGCCCAATTCACCTTTTGTATTTATCTTTAAACCCAATCTCCAAAATATAAAAACAAGTGGTGAAAATATAGTATTTTGAAGATTGGGTTTAAAGATAAATACAAAAGGTGAATTGGACTTAAAGGTACAAATAATAGTGCTTGGGTTTAAAGATAAATGGGAGTAAACAAATGGGTCTAAAAGCAAAAACCCCTAATATTAAACATATTATTAATATATTATATATTAATTATAATAAAATGTATTGTAAATAAAATATTATAATATTTAGTTTATATTATTATAGTATTAGAGGTATTAAATATAATACAATATAAAATTGTATAATGTATTGCAATATTATATTGTACTTAATGAGTTATATTATATTATAATTATTACATATTATATTCAAATAATTATATATGTAATTATTTGGCATATCAATTTGTTATTGTTATATATTATATTAAATTTTTTATAATATTATTATTTTATTATTAATATAATATTATAATATTATATTATACTATTATTCATATAATAAAATATTATTAATAATGTTAACATTATGTTATTACTAGGATGTTATTAATAAATTAATATATTATAAATATTTTAATTTTATGTAATATATTATGGTCTTTAATATGTTAGAGTTTATTAATAGTAATTTAATAATATATTTTTTTAAATATGTTACTATTATATAATATTTTATAATTATTAATTTATTATAGCTTATTTATTAAAAAAATTAATAATATTATAGCGATCATACTATTGTATAGTATATTATTATGTTATTATTTATTATCAATAACTTTTTTATTATTTCTTATTAGTTTATTTATATTTCATTATTATTTATTATTATATAATACATTGTTAACATATTAAATACTAGTAATTAATATTATATTATTATATAAGATATTTTATTTATTATATTTTTATATTATTTAATAAATATTACTAATATATTAGATTAACTATAATATAGTATAGTATAGTATAGCATAATAAGCATGTTGATAATAACTCTATATTAATTATATTTAATATATTATGTTAGATATTATACTAACACATTCTCAAACTCAAAACCAAAACACCAAACTTAAAACATCTTTTAGATGTTTTGAAATAAGTGTTGTGTTTTTAGTTTGAAGATGATTTAGCTCAAAAAACATCATGGTTTCCAAACACATGATGTTTTATTTTTTGCAAAAACACAATGGAAACAAGTAAAACACCATGATATCCAAACGGAGCCAGTTTTTCAAAAGCCGAGGTGTGCTAGTTTTTAAAAATAAAATTTAAAAGCTAACTTG